AATAAACAATCCGGAATGTTTATTCAGGGCATTGAACCGGAACTGAACCGTAACCGAAAACCGTTAAAAACCGAAATTTTGCTCGAAACAAAAACCGTAACCGAACCGAAATACTGTTGGCTAGTTTAACCGAAACCGAAAACCGTAAACGAAACAAATAACGGTTCGATGCTAAAAAGTAAAAAAAAAATTTTTGGTAAATATTTAAATTATTTAGAAAAAAAATATTTAGATAATATTTCGTCTTTGGAAATTTTGTTAATTTTTATTATCTTTGAAAATTTGTTATCTCTCTTTTCGTTTGTTTTTCCGACTGAGTTTGCCGATAATTTGAGTAAGAAGAGAAGAGAAATCCAGTATAATCGGAGAAATTAGAGATCAAGTGCGATCATCTTCAAAATTTTGAAGTACCAGCTACACAAGTGAGCCTGGAAGCATCTGTTTTTAGATTAAAATTTATCCTCAGAGACTACAGAAGTGGTTTCAATAAAAACATTTTAGAAGATATATTAATAATCAGAGGAAATTTTCATCTTTTTTGAAACAATCTAATATTTATATAAGTAATTTCAAAATATCTTTGTAATGATTGTTTTAATCTGTTGAAAAAAAAATATTAGGAACGTTTCCTTTTATACTGACAACATTTAAAAATCATATTTTTTATTGATTTCTTATTATTCACAATCTAAAATTTAATTCAAATTGACATTGTGGTTTTGGTTATAGTTGGATGTCCGTATGTCCGTTACATGCGTTTAAGAAACTATGCTTTAAAAAAATTAAGTTTCGGAGCGAAACCGTAAACAAAAAAAAACGATATTATTTCAGGAACAAAAACCGTAACCGAAACGAAATTCGTTTTGCTGACTGAACCGAAAAAAATTACGGTTCGATGCCCTGTATTTATTTAAATTTAAAATCGCAAAGGAAAGCGTAGGATTTACGAAAAATATTAAATGCTCTCTGATTGGGTTCGAATGCAAATGATCCCTCTCATCGGCAATGCGGGTGATGCGTTGAATGACGACGTGAATGTGTGAGTCTGTGCGTGTATCGTTGATAACTCTAAGTAATTCATTGAGAAGGAATAATTGTTACAAATATTTTAAAAATATATGCAAATAAATTAAAAATATACTGACAAAAACAGATGAAAAACAAACCTGACAGAACAAGATTTAGCAATCTTTTTTGCTGAATCGTAATTACAATTGAAGCATTCGTGGTCTGGTAATGTGTTCCGAAGGTAGCATATTTTTCCAGCTGACACCGTCTTTCGGTCGTTCCATAACAACGAGCACTGCCTGCTTCGTGATAGGCATTTGCCGCCGTAACAGTAGTATCGGTCCTGTAACGGATGATGAAAGAGTTTCAAAATAATGAGCTACGGGTGAATCTAAAATTCTTGATCAAGTAATTTTTTATTATATTGTACAAAAATAGTTTGTGCAGCAGTTTAGTGATTGGCCTCGCCAATTTCAATTTGTTAATACATGAATTATGTTCATATTTTTCAAAACAATAAATAAATGCTGTTATATACATATATGTATATAATTATATTTAGTTATTTATAGATTTTTGTTTATAGAAGAAAGCAGTCGTTAATTTCGGGATAAAAATTTCATTACATTTTGTTCAAAGCTTCTGTCCTGAAACATTGTCTAAAGTAGTTTTCGTCTGTAAAATTTAATTTAATTTAGCTAAATTTTGTAGGCTAAAAGTTTTAAATTTTGTTGTTGTTGTTTTAAGGGAATTGTTTTCACAGTCACATGCTGAATCTTTCAAGTAATTCAAAATTGTGAATCTGTATATAAAAAAATAAAAAATAACTCACCAAGCACATGGTTCCATCTCGTTTATATAAATCTATGCAGAGATTTGATGTTCCACTGCATTTATCTTCAATGTCGCATTCATCTTTCACCTCTCTGCAAATCTCTCCGGCGAGTTTGAGCTTATCAAGTTCAAAAAATACAAATATTTTATGAATTTTTCTAAATTAATAAATAAATTCGTCTCGATGTTTGGAAAAATATATATAGTATAGTTTTCATTTTTCAGCCATCTATTATTAGAATATCTGATAGTGTTGGTTTGAAACAAAATATTTAGTAATTCAAAAACTATCAAACAGACACCTTGCATGTGTTGAAGTCACAACACAGTCCTGTGGCACATTCCGAGCCTGGAGTAAACATGCAAGTTGTTGTGTTGCAGCACTGCCTTGAACAGATCTGGTTGTTTGAATTATTTTTTCATTCTTTATATTTAGTGCACTCGGCCATTTTTGATTCGTCGAATTATTTTTGAGCAGCAAATATTCCGTTAAGAAAATTCAAACATATGATAATTTAATGTTATAAGCTCACTTCCGCTTTGAATGAACCGCAGTCACAATCTTCCCCATCATCAGTTAATCCGTTTCCACATCTGGCAGGGACCAAATCGAACGATGCATCTTTCTCGAAAAGACATTGGTGTATATGGTAGGTTTGGTTGAGCACCTCCTTTGAACAACTGGACCAAGTCATTTCGACTGTTGTGTTACTTTCTCTTTGGGTTATTTAAAACCAATTTAACTGTATTCACAATAAAACATGTTTGAAGTTAAATTGCAAATTTTTGAAACTTTGTTCTAAGTTGAGTAAGTCAAAACTGAAGAATGTTTAAAAAGATTTTTTTTTATTTGAGTTGTTAAACGAATAACTGTCCGAAGCCTCTGATAAATAAATATTGTTGAGCAACATTTTTGACGAACAGAAATAAGCAGATGCACATTTTCTACATATTGAAAAAAGGGTCGCATAACTGTTAAAAACGTCATTATCAAAAAAATATAAATCGCTAAGAAGGTAGAGCGGAGAAGGAAACCCCAAAGAACCCTGGCTTTGATCGTTCAGACGGGGAATTATTTCATTTCATTTCACGAAACTTATGAATTTGAGGCAGCAGGCCTTCATATGCATGCATGTTTTCAATATTATAGGTCATAAATATTTTTACGAACTGTATTCAACATTCATTAATGCGGATAGCTGTTATTTTCAAAGTCGAGAAAATCAATAAAAAACAATGATAAATTTAGGAAACCATTCCAATTAATTCAACTTCAAATTTTTAAGCAATTTTCTCCACTGTAAACACTTAATTTATATTGTTATAACCGTTGGAATGGTCAAATTATGCTTTATAATTAATTTCAATTGATTGTTATTATCGCTGTTACCTTTGCTATTTGTTATCTATGTAGCAATGAATAATCTGTATAAAACTACTGATTTATAAATACAGTTCGCGTTGCAAAAATGGCGAGGTTGTAGCTGTTGGGTTATGGAGTTCCGCTGTGAATTATTATTGAGGATCGTGCTACATCGAGCGTAATTAATTTACTATTACATAATTCAGTGTTGGCATTCAAATAAACGTTTAAACAAATCTCTGTTTGAAGCAGCTGCGTTTATCTATCAGAAATAATGATCGACCGGTAGGTCGAACAACTTGATGATCGTGCAAGTTACAACAATTTTTTTGACAAAACGCTGTTACTCAGTTGATAACTTTTTGTGAAACATTTCTCTTAAAAGCAAAAATTGAATACAAAGTAGAAAAGTTTTGTTAAAAAACTTACGGATTATATTTATTCATAATGCACGGCTCCTTGCTGCACACGCAACCAAGAACGTCGTTATCATGTTCCATTCCAAATACGTGACCTAATTCGTGCGCGATAATTACTGAGGCTATGAAGATTCCTTGAATAGTCTGCATTTGTTCAGTAGTTTTAACGTTTATTACCAGTGACAGGTTGCTTTTCAAAATGTTCATGTCTGTAGTATATTTTTCTTTTGTATAAGATAAACAAAATTCATTGATAAATGCCCTTAACATAACTGAAGACTATAAATTTGTAATACAAAAGTTTGGAAATCGCATAATAGAGCAACTGATAAAAACGTTTAAATGTTTTTCTAATTAATATACTAATAAATAAAATTCTAATTTCTGTAAAAAAATCATATAATAACTAAGTCTGAATTTTTCACCGTTAATTTATTAGGTTTTTCGGAAAGTAACTTTAATTTTTTTGATAAAAAATTAAGATAATTTTTGTATAACGAATAAATATTTTAATAAATTTTATATTGGCTAATCTGATCCAACACCATTTGCCATCTGTCTGGTATTAACATGATTTCACACTCCTAAAACTTTTGGTAATTGCTGGCGAAACACTAATTCAGGTGATTTTTGGCCTTTTCTTTTGAAATACACCTTTTAACGTTCAAAAAATTTTGCAGCGACCAAAGCAAATAATAATCCAGAGACAAAAGATCTGAAGAATATGGTGGGTGAGGCTGCGCATTCGATTTGAGCTGTCAAAGCTTTGGGCATTATATCAGTGGAACCCTGGAACCCATGTAACAAGGTTTTTGTTTAAACCCAGGCTTTTCAAGCAAGTGGTCATTAAATTTAACTTTTCGAATATCTCACGTGTTGTTATTTGCACCAACTAATGCCGCTGTCGTGTTTTTATCAGCTTCTATCGGCCTTCCAGTTTGTGGTGCATCTTCGACATCGAAATTGACAGTTCGAAATTTGCAAATCAGTTCTGGCGCTTGCGTAACATATTTTCCCCACACACCACGGTCAATTTTTTTTCTGGCTAAAAGCGATTTTAACTTTTTTTATAGTAGAAAAGTAAATTATGTCAAAAATGCTGCTTATCACTTTTTATATATAGGATAGCCATAAATCATATTAATGTAGACGTGCATGGATGAAAAATTAATTGAATGGTTTTTATAATGATTCTTGTTAGTATGATTTTCTTTTTTGAAGTGTCGATTTAGTGTTTAATTATTGTTTGAAATAAGTATTTACTGAAATCCAAAAAGCTGAACCATATGAACACATTGATTTTTTACTTGCAAGTCCTACCACCTGATTCATGAATATCTTTCTCCTATTAAATATTTAGTTTGTTTTATATGAAATTATTTTAAAAATACGTGAATTGAGTCAATAGGCACTAACGTAACAAGCATTGAAGTGTCTATTCCGATAAAATTGGATATTATTTCTCTTTCGTTATACCGCTCAAATAAATCCAATAAATCATGCTGAGTAGCTGTTGGTTTCAATACTATGTTTGGAACACCCCAAATTTCTAGAGCTGCAATAGTTATCAAAATGTCTTGTTCTTGATAGTACTGTTGATTTTTAAATGATGTACAGGAATAAAAATTTTTTTTAAAAATTCAAAGTGTATTTTGTCGCAAAACTCGAAAAATAAATACCAACCAAACTTGCAGAAGTGAACGCATTCAGTAGATAATTTGTCGTGAAGTTCGCATCAGATTGGAAAAACGAGTACTGCATGGAAAAGAAGTTAATAGATGATAAGACGTCGTCAAATGATGACAACTAAAACAATTGAGTTTGTTTAAATATTTTTGACAAAATTTGTGAAAATTAGTGTAAACAGTTTTAAATCAAATGAACAATTGAAATAATCAACAGTATATTTGAAAACTTAAATCAATCTTACCATCATGATCTTACTTACAGTTTTTCAAAAAATCAAAAAAGTTCATTATACTCTAATATGCTATTACCCCTATACGAAGTTATGAAGTCAAATAAAATAACTAGATAAATTCATAAAAAGATTGGTGGATGGAGGAATGTATAGACTGATGAACATACGAACACAATGACCAACAGATAAACAAACAAAACAGACAGAAAAACAGTTAACAATTAAACAGAAAGAATAAATATGACCTGAAACGTAAACACTTTGTACTAACAACTTCATGGTCGATAGCAACAAATATCTTGACAATTCTGATTTCTCTGTCAAGTGTGGCTGTAACATTTCTTTCAATTGTGACCAGCTTTTTTTGAATAATGTTTTTTTGTAAAAATATTCAAAAGTATTTTTCCGTCAACTTCTCACCTTCTTTACATTTTTCAAGTTTTGTCTACTTGCCATCAAAGTGTTACGAACTCCTGAGCATTTGAAAATGTAATCATTGCTATTTAACATTTTAATCATTATTACATTATGATGTTACAATTTTTTCCGTTTAGGCTCATTTCATAAAATGTATCGTACAATTCCTTTTCTCAATAAAAATCTTGGAGCAAATTTACCACAAAATGATGATCTTGGAACGTCAACTTTCTTCACGACAACCGCATCCAACGATCCTTTTTGTTTGGAAATCACTTCAAAAACCTCATTGCCTTTTTGATAAAAACCGCTGAAACAAACATCCATTAATTTAAAGAAAATATTTCTTTCTCAAAACTTTGAAAGAAATTGAATACTTGACACTGGAGCACAGTGAGAGGACAGCCACTTGTGATTGATTGCCATCCACGTGTCCTTGGTAGTGGCAATCTAATTTCTTTTGGAAAATGACAAATTATTTTTATCTACTAAAGTTATATTTATAGTTGAAAATTGTTTCCAATTTTCATGTTCTTATCTTATTGAATTATTTAAAATAAAATAACGCGTAAGTAATTTTTTAAAAACTTTACTGACATATTTTAAAACTATTATTAGAAATTGTAAAAGTGATTTTAAACTCAAATGTGCAAAGGTATATTAGCAGCAAAATTATTAATACATGCAATTTTTTTGAAGATTTGAGAGTAAAAGAAAAATTCCTAGTTTGATTTTAAAATTGTCGATTGAATCCACTGAAACAATTTCATTGCTCAGTTCTTAACAGGCGTTTACCACTCTGCTGCTGAAGAATCTTTGCTTTATTGGATTTTCTGTCTTCCTTAAGAGCTAGTATCTATGACCTCTTAATCCTTTCCTTTTTTCTAGTTGAAAAAACCTGATGAACGGTGTTTTCTTTTCCAGTTCTAAACTTATATGCCTGAATCAGATCTCTTCTGCATTTTCTACTTTCTAGTGTTGTTAATCCGCATTCTTTCAGTCTCTTTCTATATTCAAGATTTTCAACTTCTTTGATCATTTTTGTTGCTCTACGCTGTGCCCGTTCAAAAATGTTTGTCGTTTGGCAGATCTATACTCCAAATCTGTGAACAGTAGTCGAGGGCAAACTAATGTTTTATACAAGTTTATAATGATCGACTTCTCTCTGTTTACCACCGTTATTTTAATACATCCAAGTATTTGATTTGGCTGCTGACAAAGTACATTGTCTTGATGTTATCGTGCTTTTATGAATGGTGATTTCGAGGTCCCTTTCTTCTTCTGCCCAGTTGATATGAAAGCCTTTGTTTTTTCTTAACATATGAAAAACTTTAATTTGTCTATGTTAAATAGCATTTGCCAATCTTCAAACCATTTGTATAATCTTGTCAAATCTTCAAGTCTTAGTACTTACGCATCTTCCTCGTTGTTGACTAATGCACACAGCTTTGTGTCGTCAGCAAATTTTAATATTTTTGACATTATGCAAGAGTCGATATCATTAATGTAGATACCAAATAGTAGGAGGCCCACAACCGAACTTTCAGAAACTCCACTTGTGATGCTAATCCAATTTGCCACTTGTTGCCTTCTGTACTTCAGCCAATTAGTAATCCATTAAAGCAAACTTCCAGATAACCCACATGTCTGTACATTTTTGACGAGTCGATTATGTGGCACTTTATCAAAGGTTATCGCCAAATCCAAATAAATAATATTTACGGAGTTCCACTGCCCACGTAAACTTCCTTAAAAAATCCAAAAGATTTGACTTGATACAAGTTAACAAAAAAATGTTTTTCCAGATAGTTATGAGCAGGCTATTTATAACATTTTTTTAAACATAAAAGTCAAATTACCAGTTTATGAACATTCTTGCGCTTGTGATGTTCACCAACAATGTAGACGGCAAAGTTGCTCGCCAATATTTTCCTTGAAAATTGAAAAGCTAAACTAAATTGACATTGATTTTTTAAATTATGACATTAAAAACTCGATGATGAAAAAATCACCTGCTCAAACGCAGAAACACTTGAAACTGCGTGTTGTTATTATTGATGAATTGAATCTTCAGAGAAGTGTGGTTCTGTGGTTTTAATTTGTAATAAAACTGAAATACTTTTAAAATTTTTAAAATTTAATTAGTTTTGAAACGTCGTTTAAACAATGTTTAATAAACGCTTTTTTATTGTTTTTTTTGCTAAAAGACAGGTTTTGAGATACGTCGTCATCATCATTCTTTAATAAAATAAATTTCGGTTCATCTTGAGACTAGCCATAAAAATGTCTGAAACGGCCATTCCAGGGACCTCTTTATTAAAAATTTCATTACCCAACCATTTTCCGTTCTAATTTTACTTATATCAGTTTATTTTTTAACATCTCTAGTAATAAACTCGGCTGTTTCATAACTCCGGCTTTTTTCCTTTTATAATTTTTGTCAAACAGCCAGATACCCATCCAAAATTTTTTTTTTTTTCAACATGACCAGATCATCTTAGACGCCTGGAGATTCACTTGACCAACACTCTGCAGTTACTTATCACATCGATACTGATTTCAAAGTTGTCTTTTGAATATTTCAAATATTTTTTTTCCTCTATCATAACCAATTTATTTATTTCTTCTTTGACCAGTCATATATTTTGTTTCAATGAAACGTACTGCTTCAACTTTCAATAATAAATTACTTGAAAATATTGTTTGCTAAATTTCAGAAAAACATTTATGAGTTTAAAAATTTTTTAAAATAAAGATTATTTTTTAATTGAAGTCAACATGTTTTTTCAATGTTGAGTAAAAAAATTATAAGATATGAATTTTGCTCATGTGCATTGTGCAGTAATTTCTTACCAACAAGTCAGAAATTTGGATATTTTTGAACCTAATAAAAAATTGAGTTTTTGATTTAAAAGTTTAAATTTGTGTCACAATGAAATTTGTTAGTTCAGAAATATTTGTACAACAATAAATCAATAAAAGAAACTTTTAAGCAACTACTTTTCCATTGATTTCGTCTGAATCGACCGGCTTATTTGCTCCATCGTAAAACGATAAATTAAATTCTTCTTGAATAGACACATCTGCGATGTAAGGAAAATTAGTTATGTTGAAAAATTTTGTAAGTGTATATGAAAAACAGTTGTGTAGCCAGAAATCTCCTTTGGGAAGGAGCTTAAATTTGTTTAAAAAAGCTGTTTTTACAAATTTCGCTATTTAATCCACTATTTCATGCGAGGTTTGTTTTGATTTTATTGTTGTGGGAATGAGCTGAATTAGTTTTCAGTCAAAATTTTTACTAATCTATGTACGGATTTAGTTTAAGACCAGCTAAATTTTTCATTTTCAACGGGACCTTCAGCCCCAAACCTCCCACCTTGTCTATGACTCTGAAAAAAAGAATGTGTTAATAAGAAAAAAATGTTCTATTACTTGCAAAAAAAATTAAAATTAATAATTTTATCATAATTAAAAATTTTATACGTTTTGTTTTGTTCGTAACAAAACTTTCAAATTACGTCATACAAAATCTCAATTTGTTAATTAGCAAAGAACTTAAAAATTCGCTTAATAAAATTTCCCAAAAAATCAACTTTTTAAAATTTTTCAAAAGCTTCATAATATATTTAACAAATAAAATATTTTTTTATGATTTGTATTTCTTGCTGTGATCATGTCCATGAAAATTTGGTTCAGTCATTAACGAGTAGGTACATGTTCCAATTGCAATTCGAAAAACAAACCAGAAGATTAATTGAATGCTGAATCACATTATCAATTTGATGAAATTCCACAAAATAATTATGGCAGATTTTTGTTGTTTTGAACTTCGTTTCCAACAGTGAAGGAATATGCACATGAAAAATGTCCATTAAAATTAGCATTCAAAATTAACATAAGGGCAGATAGAAACGAGAATTAAAGGTATCGTTTGTAGACAAAAGTAATAATTTTTAATACTAATCGATTATCGAAAATTTATTTATTAAAAGTTCTTTAGGAAGAGCTGTTCGCAAAACGATAGTAAGTTAATAAAAATTGTTAAAAAACAAGTAAAAGTCTCCATCTCCAGTATAGAAGGATCAAACAGAATCACCGACGCCCATTAAAGCTCAACCTAAACTCTAACAAAAAAAAATTGTGTACGTTCACGAATTTTAAACATTCTATTTGTGTGAATATGAAAACAGTCAATATGATTATAAACTGTGGTCTGACGGTTAAGATACATGGCAATGTTTTTGCAGTGACGGATACAAGCTCCAACAGTACAACATGTGTGAATCGTTTTTCACGCATTTTACAACAGTAGTTGCGTATTTGTTGATACTTCTAATATTTTTAACCAAATTCTTGTCATCATTATTAATTTTATTAAACTTAGAATAGTATAAAGTTTTCAAATTATATATATTAGTAATAAGATGAAAACTTAATATAGCGTTCGTTATAGCAATTTTCACAACTGCTATCAAATTCGGTAGATTTTAAAAATTACTGCATTATTTATGGTACTTCACCATGGATATAATGGATATGGCATAATAATTGTTAACTGCTTCATAATTTTTCTTAGTTCTATGGAATTAAACACGTAAACATTAAACTTTTTTTGTAGTAATTGACTTTTTATTAATTTTTTACGATCAAACGTCTTACTATCGTATTTTATTATTAAACTTTAGACAAATTTTTTAATTAAATGTCAATAAATTGATAAAAAAAGCAAATAGAAGGGTCATTCTCTGTCAACTTGAACCATGGTCCACGCCCGACCATCTCCGATTTTTTTAAAATTTGAACAGTAAGTACCTCAATGTATTTCATCGACAAAATAAAATTTTTATAAAAAAATTTCAATTATTTTTCAAGTTATGAAGATTTTTGTGACAGCATCCTCAAATTTTTGAGCGATTTTTTTCAAAACTTGTACCTACGTAGAACGCTATATCTCTTGAACTAGCCAACATATCTTGATGAAATTTTTTGTGCATATCAGTGAAACAATGTAATAACAAAAAAAATAAATGTTATTGTCTCGAATCAAAGGATATTTTGAACAAAAAATCTAGAAAAAAATGAATTTTTTGAAAATTTCACCGATTTCAAATCAGCGTAGCTCAAAATCTATCGCAAAATAAATAAATATTTTTTGTTATTTTAGAAGTACCTTATAGTCACAAATAAATCACAAAATTTCGTTAAAATCTGTATTGAATTTTTTGAGCTATCGGAGTCAAAATGTCAAAAAAATGAAAAACTTCTT